AGTGAGTAAAGTAGAAGCTCTTCAAGGACCTTCTGCCGGGGGACTCCAGGCTGGGTAGCCCAACTGTTGCTTAATCTGCTCGTGTGTTCCCGCTCTCCCTTCATCTCTGCAGCGATTTGAACACTCAGCCAAACTGCGGCGGAAGATCACCACATACGTGTCATTTCCCCTGGAGCTGGACATGACGCCCTTCATGGCCTCCAGGTACAAAGGTTTGGTGCCCCTGTATGTGTTCAGGTGGGGAGGCAAGTTATCTCGTGGGTGATCGCCCAGTGCCAGATTTTAGACAAGCTGTATTACAGCTGTATAGACCTCATGTTCCCAACCTCAGTACTTACCTAGTCTCACCTTAGGTGCCTGTCTGTGCTGTGACTCCTTCATTGATTATTTATCAGCTTTCAAACTTGGCAACTCATCAAGATAAAGTCACAGGCAGACCATGTAACATTTTTGGATGATGAGACAGATTTTGAAATACAGATAAATAGGGTTGTATTGCAACAGTAGATTCTCTTCCTTGAGGTCAAATCCTGTGTACTATAGACCACATAAGATTTAACACTCAAGCCGGGCGGTGGTGGCGCACGCCTTTAATCCCAGCACTCGGGAGGCAGAGTCAGGCGGATCTCTGTGAGTTCGAGGCCAGCCTGGACTACCAAGTGAGTTCCAGGAAAGGCGCAAAGCTACACAGAGAAACCCTGTCTCGAAAAACCAAAAAAAAAGATTTAACACTCAAAAAACTACAGTGGTTGCTAATGTGTTTGCTGTCTGTGGCCAGCATGTATAAATGTGGTAGCTTAAAACAATGGAAATTTATTCTCACAGTAATAGAAACCAGAAATATGAAACTTGGTGAGAAGGATCCTGACAGGGTTCCCTGGTCTCATCCAGCTCCTGGAGGTTCTGGGTCCTCTTCTGTAGGTCACTGCCCTGAGCCCAAGGCCCTTCCTGAGTCTGTGACTCATCTGTTGGCCCCTGCTTTCTAGATACTGGTGGTTAGGGGTAGAGCCTGTCTAAAAGGCCTCATTTCAGCATCCCTCATCCTGTCTGCACAGGTTTTCTAAATGGCTCACATTCGCAGTTTTGAGGGTCGAGATACAGACAGTACATTTTCAGAAGCCACATCTCAGCCCACTGTACTGTCTTGAGCAGCTTCCTATTATTAGTCTAGATGCCCTTCCTTGTGGCTGTGTTCCTGGGTCCACAGGTCACTGACTAAAATAATATCAGAGACCGTGAGAATTTGTTCTTTAGAAAATGAAGTATTAACGTGTCCAGGGATGGGGTGACATTGTTGCTGATACTAAGGCCTCACAGGGCTTGCTGTCTTCTGCTAACTTTGGCTGTAAGTAAATAAACCAAATTAGTTTGAAACCTGGCATTTCCTGCACAGCCCCTCCTCCCGTCCTACCCGACCTGCTGCTAGTGAGATACTTCACGGTGTCCTTGTGCTCTTTAAGAATGTTGTATGGGGCTGACTTACAGCCTTTGGAAAGAGTTTTTTATTTGGTGTGTTACAAGCAAAACCTCACGAAGCCAATATCAGAAGCCCCTGGCTCAGAAAGTGGCTTCGGTATCTACTGGGGGGAGGGGGTGCTGCCACAGAAGCATTAGGCCAGAGATCTCCAGCCCAAGCTAGATTTCTTACCAGTATGTGAGGCAGTCTGCTCAGGAAAACTGGCATAAATGAAGTATACTGCTTGGCATCAGTACATGCTGTCATTGGAGCCTGTCTCTCCGGTAAGTTAGTAATTCAGTTTTATTACTGCCTTACAGCAAAGAGAGCAGGATGAATGGGCAGTACCAACAGCCCCTGGACAGTCTCAACAATGACAACAAGTATGTGGGGTTACAGGGCCTGGGGGCTGGGTGAGTGGGCCTTCTCAGACAGCTAACCTGTCCTTCCCTCCTTCCAGTCTCTGAACAGTCTCCCTCCTGGTGGCAACCCCACTCTAGAAACCTCTGGTGTGAGGATCTACCTAGGAGCTCGACCTAATGAGCTTGCTCCTTCGGTCCCATTCCTCTTGCTGTTGATAGCACAGGCGGATGGCACAAGTAAGGCAGTTACTGCCACTGTGGATCGTCACTGCTGCCACCTCTTCTGTGCAGTGCAGTTCCAGGAGTTATCTTTGCTGGGCCAGAGCTGAGTGGTGCAGACCTGGCTCTCCCAACTCTGCAGCCAGCAAGCTCTGCTTTAGGCCAATTCAACAGACCGTAGATCAGATGCTCTCTCCTTCCACACCAGGTACTCCCTGTTTGCTGTTGTTAACCATCAAGGGACCTTGGAAAGTGGCCACTACACCAGCTTCATACGGCAGCACAAAGACCAGTGGTTCAAGTGTGATGATGCCATCATCACCAAGGCCAGCATCAAGGATGTGTTGGACAGCGAAGGGTATGTCTAGGGGGTGGGGTTAGAGGATCTGTAATAGTGCTTGTCCATCTCTCCTGTCTGACCAGAGCCACAGGTGAGGCTGCATCTGCCACAAGGGATATTCACCTTAATTTAGTTTGTTGCTGAAGGGACAGTGGCTCCTTGGATCAGATGTCACCTTTAGGTCGTGATTACAGGGTGGGAGTGTTGCTGAACATAGTTGTTGTCTGTGCCTCCTCTAGATCAAAGAACATTGCAGTTAGCATTTGTCCTCTCCATGCTGTGCAGCGGTTCTGGATCAGCTTCTACTGCTTTTGTTACCCGTGTGTCGTCCACCCTTAGAATTCCCAGCCCCAGGGTCAAGACAGACCACCTGCCACAGATGCAGATGTGGATGTGGGGCTCTGGGCTCTGGGAGTCCCCTGGAGAGAGCTCATGGAGAAAGAGTGTGCTGCTTACTGGGCAGGGTTTGGGTTGAAGGAGACATGGAAAAGTCATGACTATGGGAGGTCACCGAGTCTAGTTGGGTGATGGGAGGCCGGAAGTGTCCCTTTCCTGAAGACTTGAGGTACTACAGTATCATACCATCAAAAAGTCAGACTTGTGGATCAGTCTTGACTGGCATAGCTATTTTGGAAGTTAAGACTAAGCCCACTTTTCCCTTTACCTCCTCAGGTACCTACTCTTCTACCACAAACAGTTCCTGGAATACGAGTAGCCTCCTGCCCTGCTGGACAGGAAAAACAAAAAGAACAAGTTGGCAAGCTTTCCGACATGATCCCTGGTCTCCCCACATCAGAACACCATGGTATCCCTCCTGTGCAGACGTGCCTCACACGTGGCCCCTCCGCACAAGGAGATGTCAGGGTGGGCATGAGCTATAAGATTGAGTGGAGCGTGCCCTTGGTGGACAGGAGCTGAAGGGCCATCTCTTCTCAACCTTGTGGTGTGCTGAGGGTGGATGTCCTCAGTGCAGACCAGCCTCTGCCTAGTGCTTCACCCTGTCCTCCCACACGGGTTTACAAAGCACCTGCATCATTGAAAATGAGCCCGTTAAAGCTGTAGAGTGGGCAGAGTTGATGCCAGAGGGCAGAGTGCTTGGCTTGCAGCAGCCTTCTGTGTTCTGTGGCATTAAGGGCAGGGAGTGTGCCTGTTCTTTCTAAGGTTGTAAAATAGCCCTGGGCCTAGGTTGAGGCCACCCACAGGCTAGAAACATCTGTCCTGCAGATAACTTAGCATCAGCTGCATGTGGAAACATCAGCCCAGAGATTCCCTTTGTTTTCTAGAAATAGGCATCTTCTTATCTCTACCCCTTGCTCTTTTTCCACAATAGTGAATTCCATAAATGTGATAGTAGTAAAGTGAATGATTACCGAGTTTATATGGAAATCTAGGTGATCCTCTTTCCTTTGAGAGCAGAGTGTCTTGCTTTTTGATCAGTGCCGTTTGCTTGCCCTGTGCTCTGCCTTCTCACACGGCTAGTGGCCAGGCAGTGGATCTTTGCAGTAGATGGATTATGCCTTCGTGGCTCCATTGATCCAATCTTCCCATGTCCCTTCTTGGTCTTTGGTCCTTTTGCCTGCCCAGGTGGTTTAGTGGCTGTGTGAGGTTTGCAGCTGAGTGGTCCAGGTTGGAGACTGCATTGCACTGTGTCCTCCGCTTGCCTCTGCTCTGTGTTTGCTATAGTTTCAGTTATAGCCAGAATAAAAAGGCTTGGTGACCAGTTCTGCTCACAGGGTCAGTCATGAAGTTTCTTGTAAGATATTTTGCATGTGTCTTTGGACAAGGCTTAGGTTGTCTATTTCTAGAAATTGAAGTCTAGGGTCTCAGTGTTTTCTCTTTACACCACTGCCTTTTCAGTGGTGCTTGTCCAGGAGCCTATGGGCACATTACCCCAGGAGTTTCAGGACCGGCAAGTATTTCCTAAGCCAGGCTGTGAGCTGTAGCTCTACAGCAGGTATCGTGTGCATCATTCGTGCATAGCAAGTACAACTGTATTCTGATTGTCCTTGATTTACACACCCTGAATTTGAATTACATAGTTATCATGTAGGCAGAATTTGTTTAACTAATTGAAGATAAGAAGACTTTTCTTCACTGACAGGCTATGAAAAAGCAGGGCAGGTTCCAGACCGGCTCCTTAGCCCGTTGTGATGGGATGGGGTAGCTGTGGCAGAGCTAAGTGGTGCTGTTCAGTCAGTGTGAAATCACCTTCAGAAGGCAAGGACAGCTAAACCCTCCTGTACAGTGTGCTCACTTGCCATGTTCTCTGCTGTTGTGTTCCTGTTTCTGCGTTTAGAGTAGAGAACAGACTTGAAGCATGTTTTAGAAGAAGCCCTTTTTGAGAAATGTGGGTGAGCCCAGGTTCTCAGGCATGGACCCATGTTTGTGGACTCAGCTGTAGAGATGCCCTTGGGGAATCATATTCTTCTGTTTGTGAATACCCTTAGGAAAGAGTTCTCTGCAGTTGGCCTAGAGGAACCAGAGCCTAAAACTCCTCCTGAAGATCTGTCTCCTTGACACTCTGGTTTGGGGCATCCAGAAACAGGGGAAATGAGCAGGTATGCTGGCCAGGCCTGCTTCCTCTGTCCCCACAGCACACGGCCCGTCTCTCCCTGAATTGGGGGCACGGAGGAGGACAACACCTGTTTTCTGTCAGCCTGACTTTAACCTTTTCTATCCAAATGCATTCCTTTTCTTTACCATGGACGTAACATTCTAAGCACTTCACTCTGTGCCCGCGGCAAGGAGGCCATCCATCTCTGGCTGTCACACATCTATCTGGCCCTACCTCTGCGTCCTGTCTATCTGTCTCAGATAGACAGGCATGTGTGGATGACTGAGGAGTGGCAGATTTGAGCAGTGGGCTTGGGAAGGTCTTTCAGTTCTGCCTTTGGATAGCAAGGCAGGAAAAGGATTTCCCACCCAAGGACCATCCAGTGTAGGTGCTCAGATGGGCAAGAAGTGTGTCTCACCACAGGGCTGTATTGCCCAGCCCCAGTCTAGAGCAGTGAGCAGACCTCTTCCCATATACCACTGGTACCAGCCTCACAGGAGGCCAGACCAGCCCTCTTCAGATGTCTTCAATACAGGAGGTAGAATGGGATCTGCAGTTCCTCTCTTCATCCCAGGAGCCCCCCTCAAGCTGGGCACTGGCCTGAGCGCCCTACACCATGTGAACCTGAGTGCTGTTGTGTTTGGCTTGGTATGTATGCTTTTCCTTGTGTAAAATTACTGTTCTTTTTGACAAGTGGCTTGTTTCATTTATTATAGCTTTGAAATCCTTTTGTGAGGGGAAAAAATTCAATGATTGTACTGTAGTTAGAAGTTTTATTACCAAGACATTTATGTCACTTTCTCCCCTGTCATTTTGAGGGGCTTGACTGTCTCCCTGGTGGCTTTTAGTCTTTCCTATATCCTAATAAAGCTGCATTTTATTCTGAAACTGACTGCTGACCCCATTGCTAACACAGGCAGCAACAAGGTGGTAGAGAGGGTTAGCCATGGGCTGTCTGTGGGTGGAGATGTCATGCACTCCACCCTCCTTTCTGCCAGGCATGGAGGCCACACTAGTCCCTGCTCTTGAGAGGCAGAGGCAGACAGATCTGGTCTGCATAGTAAGTTCCAGGTAAGCCAGGGTTACACAGCAAGACCCTGGCTCAGTACACAAAAACAAACACTGCTGTCTTCTGTGGGCAGCAGGATCAGTGAGGTGGGAACATTCCTCTGGGCAAGCCCGTGGCTGCATGCCCAAGCAGAGATACATAGCAGATGCTGATACCTCTTTCCCCACTCCCAGCCTCAGCTGGTCAGAGCTCACGTGGTTGGATCAGACCCTTGTCTCAGAAGCCAGTGAGATCTGAAATTGGTCCTTGACCTCACTGTGTGACAATCTCATTAGATTAAATGGGACAACTGCTAGGTACCACAGGCGGAAACTTTTTCCACTCTCAGAGTCTAAGACTTTCAGATTAACACTCAGAAGTGGTGTGGTTAAAGCTGAGAGGTAGGATAAGTGCATTAGTGTGCATAACAGTGTAGGCTCAGTCCTCAGCACTGTCCCCCAAAAAAGGAGGGGTGCTGGAGAGGTGGTTCAGCAGTTAAGAGTACTGGCTGCTCTTCCAGAGGACCTGGTTCAATTCCAGCATCCATATGGTAGCTCACAACTGTCTGTGACTCCAATTCTAGGGCTTCTGACACCCTCACACAGACATACATGCAGGCAAAAACACCCATGGACATAAAAATATATTTGTAAAGCCCATTTAAAGGGCGGATACAAAGGGACGGGGAGATGAATGAGATTGAGATGTGTGGTGTGAAAGCCACAAAAAAAATTAAATTTTTAAAGCCCGTTTAAACAAAACACTCAGATTTTCTGGGACGAGAGAAATGAGAAGAATCTGAGTTCGTTTCTAAACCTAATGTTGAGCAGGTTTCATAATCCCTCAGTTCTCAATCCAGTGCTGCACTGGCTTGTGAGGCACCAGCATTACATGATGGTTTCTAGTTCTAATATGAAGCCTGCCTCAGACATCCCATCACTTCCATTTATCAGCTCTCCCAAAGTCCAGCTAGCAGGTGAGGTGATGGGAGCAGAAGCCATTGCCACTGTTCTCTGCCAGGCTGGTGCAGAGTTGGCAGAGTGGTGGTGTGTGAAGGTGCAGCTTCCAGCACAGAGTGCTGTTTGATTGACTTTGGAATCCCAATGCATCCAATCCTGAGAACTCCAGTCACAGATTCCACCAGACAAAACAGTGGGAGGGGTGGGGCTGATGCCACTCATTTCCAGCAGCGTCTCATGGTGGAGACCCATCTGGAAACAGATTTTCCTTCCTTAGGCATCTGGTCACTCATGGAGAGCAGTGTTAATGTGGAAAAGACACCACCTGCTTGAGCAGCTCCCATCTTCTGGATGGACAAGAGCTCCTATCTTGAGACTGTCTGAGATAGTGGATGGCTGCTACAGGTGGTGACCTTAGGGCTGAGTGCTCAGAATACATGGAGTCCCAGGCAGTAGGCAGACTACACCCAGCTTCTTGGGCTCTGGAACAGGATGCTCTGCAGGTTCATGAATCACAGAGCTGGGACTGCATACCCTGCCTTGGCCCAGCTCTGGGTGAAGGATGTCCTCAGAAAGGAGGCTTTCATTCACTAAAGGCAGTTCCTGGGAGGCTCTGCTCTGAGCTTAAACAGGCAGCCCCCCTGCAGCAAGGGAACATGTTTTCAATCCCTGAATTCCAGGTCCTTGAGTTAGTCCAGGCATAAAAGATCATGAAACAGGAAGATGTCGGGGTCCATTTTAACTATATTAAGCCTGAAGCACCAGCCTAGACCAGTCTACAGGAAGGGCCCTGCTCCCTCTGAGTTCACATGTTCCCCTGCCAACCAGGGAGCAAGCTGCTTTTTCTACCCACCTGAAATGTTAACTCACTGCTCCACCATGTTCCTTGTACAATAAATGTGAAGGCCAAGGTTGATTAAAGCCCCACATAATGCCCTCTCCAGTTTTGTCTCCCACAGGAAGCAGTTGATGACAGGAAAACATTTATCAGGAGCCCAGACCACAGCCAGGACTCCAGTGGCCCTGGCAGTGTGTCCTGTGTTAGCTAGCAACAGGTCCTATGTGACTTACTGTCCCTCATCTGTAAAATAAGGCAGGTGCTGGGATGGCTAGAAAGTCTCATCTCCAAAGCCTGCTTCTGATGGAAGTGCAGTAAGCCATGGGCAGATTCGATGGTCTGGAGCCAGGAAAGTGTCAGTGTATCTCACTTGCTATAATTCCCTCTCTGTGGGAAACTTAAAAGGAATACGGGTTTACTTCCTCATGGTTCCAGAGGCTAGAAAGTCCAAGGGCATGGTTGTGTGTGGGTCAGCTGAGTGGGAACTGCAAACAAGGTGCACAGACCCATTCGCAGCTGGCAATGGTACCACTAACAGGGCTGCCAAAAGAAAAGATGTCCCAGAGCCCCAAGGCAGCATGGACAGTGTGTCACCAGAAGTGGAGCACATATCTCTTCTGATCCCTCTTAGAAAGCCACCAGGGTTCAGTCACTAGGCTCTACTCTGGCATCACCTAAATGACACCACCTCCAAAAGGTCCCTCTGCACACCAGTCAGACCACATTTCCATCCCCATAATGCCTCTCTGGTCACTAAAGCCTTATGGGGAGGGTGCAACCTCATCCAAACACACCTCAACACAAAGAGAACTCACACCCACCACAGGTTCTCCATATACCACCTGTTACATGCTCGGCACAGAGACCAGAGAGGCCCTCAGCCACTGTGACAGAAAATGCATGAAGCTCACCAGACTCCAGGAGCTGCTGGGTAAAAGGCAGCAAAGCTGGTTGGCCTTAGCGCACAGGCCAAGAGCCACTGGGGTTGGAGGGAGGGGAAAGGATGTATCCTCTGCTGTGGCTGAGTGGCAGAGACTATCCCAAGGCATGAAAGGGCTACCTCTGTTGAGGGAGAGGTGTTGAGGTGTTAGTGAAGCTTTCTCTGTCCTGGGTCTGAGAGTATCTGGACTGCCTAAGCCTGAGAGAGCAGCATCTCATTCCGATGACGACAATCGTCACCTGAAACTTAAGGAGAGCCAGAAACACGACCCTCCACGTGGCAGAGCCCCAGGAGAAAAGCGTAAAGCTGAGGTAGGACAGGAACACACTGAACTCAGTTGCTGTCAAGAGGCCAGCAGCACTAAGGGAATGTGAAGCCAGTGGGACCCCGAGAGTAAGCAAGGTGACAACCCAATCCCGCCTCAATTCATAACTAGATTATGATCGCTAATGGATCGGCAGAAATGAAGGTACTTCTCCAGTCTTCTGCACATGTCTGGCATTCAGTCAAAAGTGGCACAATACCACAGAGCAAATGAAAAGCCCACTGTCGAGACAGACACATGGACAGAAGCAGGCAGTGGACAGCGTGTGCGAGTAGGTGGGGATTGCAGCAGAGAGATGGAGGCTATCGGGAAGAGTCTGGAGGAAACAGAGGCAGCTATGGTCAGAGACCAAGTGTCTGCCCTAGACGCCTTGAAGAGGAGACTCAGCAGGTGAAGAAAGAAACAGAAAACTTGAGGTGTAGTGGGAATGATCCAGAGTGAACCACAAAGACAACGGGGCCTCAGAGCTTGAAGATTCAGGAGAGAAAGAGAAACATCAAACAAACAAATCTTAAAAGAACCCAAAGCAGAATAAATAAAACAAGTTAACCAAAACAAGGAACCCCTGAACATCACATTCAGACCACTGGGGGAAAAAGACGACAAAGAAAGATATGTAGAGCCAGGGGGAGATGAACAGTTGCTGTGTGAGCGCTACAGCTCTGGTAGAAAGGTATCCCGGCATTTGGAAGCCAAGAAATACAGCTCTGAAGGGAAAGGTATCCCAACAAAAGTGTTACAGCTCTGTTCCCGCAGGGACCAATTTCCCCAGCAGAGCGTCACAGTCCTTGCTGCAGGGAAGGTTTCCCTAATGCAAATGAAACAGCTCTGCCCCAGCAGTTGGAGGTTGTTACAGCTCTGCTCAGCGCTCCTGGAGTTGGGAGCCCGCAAATACCACGAAGTCACACCGAACAACAAACCTCACTGGAGATTTATTGGGAGGGAGGAATCCAGGAGAGTGGCTGCCTCTGCCAGGGTGGGAAAAAGCGGCAGCAAACTGAACAGGTTCAGGGTTTGTATAGAGTTTCTTAGGGGCAGGGCTTTCCAGGGTGAAGATTTTCAGGGTGGGGATTGGAAGAATCTCAAGTCCTGAGCTTGGGGACAAGTTCAGAGATTGGTTGGATTTCGTGCTCAAGGGTTGGTTGGTTTTTATGCTCAGGGTTTGGTTAGGTTTTGTGCTCAGGGATTCGTTGAATTTCAAGTCCTGAATTGGTTAGGGGTAGGGTGTAATTCCTCAGCTCTGGTCTCAGGGCCAGGGTATGCTTTCACTGGCCCTTTTTACCCTACAGTGCAGCCACAGTGCACACCCCCTGGCTGGCCAACCTGGTCCTTTACAGGAACACTGATCCGTGGTGGGAAGAAATATCATCAAAGAGGCTAAGGGAGGCTGGCCCGAAAACCTAGGTAAGAAAATCAAGAAATGAAGAGGCTGTGAATGAAGAATAAAATTTTATCATCTTCAAGAAAATGGTTGCAATGAGAAATCATATTAAGGAAAATACAATTAAGAAAGACTAACACCAGGTTTTCTCACATTTACAGAATCTAGATTTTTTTTTTTTTCCGGAGCTGAGGACCAGGGCCTTGTGCTTGCTAGGCAAGCGCTCTACCACTGAGCTAAGTCCCCAACCCCTAGATATTTTTTAAAGACATGCTCAGAGACAGCAGATGCCAATGCTCAGCTTTTACAGAGAAGTCAAAATGAAATCATTAGGTGGATCACAACATGAAATCTAAAAGGCAGAATGAGCCGAGGGAGGGACGGAGGGAGGGAGGGAGGGACAGAGAGAGAGGGAGAGGGAGAGGGGAGAAAGAGAGTATGAGAATAAAGTTTAGAGTGACACAGGGGTAAGAAGCCAAAGACAGACCTTGCATGTGCAGCCTCAGGAAGAGCCTGTGAATGGCAGCCTCATTCCTGTGCAGCCTGCTGGCTATGGATAGCCTTTGGGGTAGGTAGGTCTGCCAAGTACCAGGTTAGGAAGGATGAAATTTCACACTTCACCTTGCTGGGAAAACGCTTCTGAGGATATTTTCATGCACCTGGAGGTTTAAATGCAACTAGAAGGATAAGCATAAGTGCTCATTAAAATGAGTGCAATTGAACATACTCATGGTGAGGTTCAGGGAACACTCATCATTCTTTTAGATGGTTGGCCTTCCCCTGGAGGCCCTCAACCTTCCTGGCTACATCACATCAGCCACACACACTTGTGAACACACATACATATACACGTGACTTATACAGACATACAATTCATGTACATATGCACACGACACAACCCAGCATCTGCACATACACATGCAAATTACTTAATTCACAAACACATGCAAACTGCACTCAGCTATCTGTCTAAGGCCCTAGGGAAGAACCCTTATTTGTAACAGCTATGAGAACAATGCTCCAGGTGCCGGCCATTCTCCATCTTCCTCCACTAAAGAGGAGCGCACAGGTTGACTGCTCTGCCTAAAGTATGGGACACAGTGGCGCAGGTGGTGCTGGGGATGTGGGCGCTGCAGGTGGTTGCTTCCTTGCGGTGGGTGCAGCCGGGCTGTCTCTCTTCCGGGCTGTGTCTTCTTCCCCTAGTCTCTTCTTCATTCCTCCCCTCCTCTCGCACTCCATCTTCTTCATTGTCTCCTTCACTGGCTGTCAGGCTCCCGGACCAGCGTCCCCGAAGGGCACGCGCACGACGCCCAGGCCGCCAACCGATGCGCGCACACAAGGCTGCGGGGCTGCTGTGCCCGCTAAGCCGAGAATCCCGAGCGTGCGCGTACTCTCCTGTGTGGGTGAGCTGCGCTCCGGGAAGCAGAAGCTACACGTCTCGACAGGCTGGGGTGGCAAGGCCACCTCACTGCGAGCCTCCATCGCGGGGCCTGAGGGGACAGAAGAGGGTGCTGTAGGCACCGAGGGCCGCGCCACACTGCTTGGTCCCAGAACCCAGCGCTTCTACAGCCACCCCAGGACTCTTCGTCCTGTGTGCCCCTGAGCAGGCTGTCAAGGCTAGGTTCACTTCTCCCTGAACCCCGAAATCATCTAGCTCCCGCCCTGGGTTTGACACGCCCCTCCCTCTTTCTGGATCTCCTGCCAAAGCCGAAGCTAGCAACCTGACACCCAACCCTTTCTTCTGATCCTGCCGTTTGAACCTGATTTCTCTGAGATGCTTCAGGATGCCCAGGCCACTCCAGTGGGCTCAGAACCTATCCGCCCGGAAGTAGGGGTAGTGGTGGATAGGGAAGGGGAGACTGCTGGTACTTGTCAGGGAAAGAGGCCTGGCTTTCCGCACTTACGGTGGGGAGACTTTGCCTGTGGCCCACATGGGCCTGAACACTGGCTCGGAAGCCGCTCTCTGCGCCGGAGGAAGCAGGCCAAGGCCACCAGGAAACAGCAGAAGATAGCGCAGAGGCAGAGCCCCAGTGTGCAATAGACGAGGGCCAGCTGGTCGCTGCTCAGCCTCAGTCCTGTGGATGCTTCAAGACAAAAAAGAACATGAGTTCAAGGGGGGCACCCACCCAGTTTTCCCTTCTCACAAAGGTGTTATGTTCAGGCCTGTAGCTACCCATACCCTCCCCCATTCGAAAACTAAGTGCCCACCCTACCATGGGCTTTCTTTTTACCTCATTAGTCCCAAACAATCCACATGGCCATCCCCAGACCTCCGTCTGTGTTGAAGACATGAGATTCCTTTCCTGGCCCCAAGATGTCACTGCTATGCTTTCTGAGGGAACTGGCCCCTTCCACCCCAAACTGATGGCACATTTTTTCCAAGACCTTAAAGCTGGACCTCCCTGGAGCTGGCCTGTTCTGTTCTCTCCACATGCTTTGGAGATAGGCAGACCCAGGGACAGATGCATGCATGCTTATATGTAAGAACGGCAGTCCAAGAAGGGTGACCCCTCCTAACAGCAGGGTGAGCTTGGACTTGAAATCAGGACCAGGGAGATGGCTAAGGAGTCTGGGCCCAGGTGTGAAGCAGAAGGGCTCCAGGGTGGGGGGGCATCGGACACTTAACAGCTCAAGACTTGAACCTCAGGCTTTGGCTGAGGGACTAAGGCCCTGTCCCAGGCCACAGCTCTCTGCTCCTGACACTGTTCTTTCCAAATGATCCCTAGGTCCTGCAATTCGGGGACTAGGGCAGACTCTGTGCTAGTGAAGTGGGGGGACCACTCCCTTGAAAGAGGAAGTGGAAGTAATAAACTTACTTTATATAGGATTTATCAATAAACTTGCTCAGAAAACATTAAATTGAACAAAAGTAGATGTTTAACAATGAGCACTGGTCTGCCAGGCAGTTTAGAGGACAGCCCTGGCTGGCAATGCTAATTCATCCCCGAGCCTCTAATCAGGATGAGGACCCCAAGTTAACAGCTGCCTGGGGAAAGCAGGGCTGGTCTGTCTGGGATAACTATGACACTACTTTACACTGCAAATCTCCCCATCTGTTCAAACACCCAAACCTTGGAAATCTGTCTCTGCAGGACAATGTATAATTGCTCGAAGGGTAACTTGGGGCCTTGAGCCTATATAAACCGAGGGGGATTTCTGTTCAGGGCCGATTCCCTTTTGTGCATTGGCCAGAATTAGTCACACACTATCATTCAAAAGTTTTTCCTTCATTAATCTCCTAAGTGCTTGAAGTGTTTTCTCACTGAGAAAGCGTAATGTCGCTATAATAGCTCAGCCTGCTCTGGGTGCCAGGTGCTTTTGTACTGGACTTTCCTTAATTCTCCTGTTCCCTGATTAAGGGGGTCAAAGGCAAAGGGGGGTCAATGTCTTGTTTTAAAAACCGGATGTAATTTGTAAATCATCACATTCACCACTTAGTGAATTCTGAATGTTTCTTTTTTTAAGCACATTCATGAAGTTGCACAACCATCTCCACCCCCTAATTTGAGACTATTTCTATCTCCAATGAAAACGTCCTGTCCCATTAATGGTCCCTGCCCATTTCCTCTCACCTGGCCCCCAGTGACATTCATCTGCATTCCATCTCTATGCACTGACAGGCCTGTTCTGGACATTTTGTACCTCACACTGACAGGTTTGGGGAAATTATTCAGGATACCCATGTAGTGTCCATGAGACATTACTGGACAACCCTATTTAAAAAAAAAAAAAAAAAAGAGCTGATGGCATTCTATTTCTCTCTTAAGTTGTCGATTCGATGCTGACTTTGAGCTCTCTCAGTTTCCAGCATTCACTCCTTAGACAAACTGGAGTCTGTTGTAACAAACAGCTGTTCTTTCTGTAGGGTTTTGTACACAGCTCACCTGGCTGTATGATTACTAAACAAAACATTTGTTATATTTTCCTCATTAACTTTACCTCTTAACATTCCTCACGAGGTTGCAATAGAGGAGACCCAATGGCTGACCTCTGAACTTAAACACAGTCTCCTCCATGTAGATACACCACCTAGTGGACGATGGTAACAAATCATCAGTCTCACTGACCCTCGTGACAGAGCCTGTCACGTGTTCTTTGGCCTGTCCACTTCCTCTCGTGAGGGCAAAACTGCCCAACCATTTTCATTGCACTCCCAGTGAGAATTGTAATAAGCGAACAGTCTCCCTTTTTGTGTGTTGCAGATGCTCTGTTGCTCACATAGCTCACACCAACGATGCACACTGTCATCACTCGACTGTCTAATGTTCCGGAGCTTTGCCTTTGTCTGTGAAGTGTTAGGGTCCCTCAGATGGACCCTCCTCTGGGGGGGCTCTAAATGCTGCCCATTCTACATCAGCCCTTTGCCAGCCCATAAGCAGTTAGAGCAGTCTGTGCCTCCAAGCCCTTAAGCAGTTAGGGTGATGTCTGAGAAGGGAGGATGAGGAACTAGTTAGACAGACTCTGGTAGGCAGACAGACAGGGAGAGGGGCCATGCCGAGGTAGTAAAAATGGCGACCTTCCAAGACAGCCAGCTTCTTTCTTACCTGAGCTGAGGCAAAAGACCGGCAGCTTAAACAAAGACCTACTGGTGTTTCTCAGTGGGGACCCTGCTGATGGACTGGCCCTATGATATGAATTCAAAGCCGGATTGGGAGGCCACAGTTATGAGCCAGTCAGCTACCCTGTCCTTGTTCAAATCTGTCCCAACCAACCCTTGCTGGTGGCATACACCTTCAATCCCAGCACTTGGGAAGTGGAGGCAGGTGGATCTCTGCGAGTTTGAGGTGTGCCTGTCTACACAGCAAGTTCTAGGACAGCCGGGACTACATAGAAGAACACTGCCCCAACAAAACAAACAACAACAAAAAAACCAACAAGAAACAAAGCTGACCAACCCTGAATTAGGAGGAGAAGACCCTCCCGAGACTTAAAAATCAAAGCCTGGCTCTTGAGGAGAAACTGGATCTGGGCTCCCAAGTCCCCCTCTGTTCTGTAGAGGGTTCCCCCTCTGTCCCACTTTCGGGTGTCTCATTGGTCTCGAACTGCTAATCAAGCATTCCCTGCCCCACTCCCAGACAGCTTGCCTCACACCCAGGCCTTCACTCACCCAGAAAGCTCCCGGGAGGACCCTTGAAACAGTAAGGAGGGACTTCCTAAATGGGTCGGCCGCTCATCCTCATCAAGACCTTGGGAAACTCGCTCCTCCCCAACATCTGCTCAGGGCGTCTCACCAGTCAGAAATAAGCCAGCATCACAGGCCCCTGTACGTGTTGGCAGACCCCACTACCCTGCGTCCACTCCTGCTAGTTTCCTCCAGCCTCACCAGTGCATCCTCACCATCTCCACCATCACCATCCTCACCATCACCACCATCTCCACCATCACCATCACCATCACCACCATCTCCACCATCACCATCACCACCATCACCACCATCACCATCCTCACTCTCTCCACCATCACCACCATCACCATCACCATCACCACCACCACCATCACCACCATCACCATCCTCACCATCACCACCATCACCACCACCACCATCCTCACCATTACCACCATCACCACCATCACCATCCTCACCATCACCACATCACCATCCTCACCACCATCACCATCACCATCCTCACCATCACCACATCACCATCCTCACCACCATCACCACCATCACCATCACTATCCTCACCATCACCATCCTCACCATCACCACCTTTGCTCACAGGACTATCTGAACCACGGCCTTACCGATGGCCCCCCTGGCACTGTCCACGGTTTTCCATCTGTCTGAATTCTCTTCCGGTTCCAAATACTGCTGGGGACAGGGAGGAAGACCTGCCTTCCCCATTCTAGGAACATCCTTTCCAATCTGTAATCACCCATCCCCATTCAAACCTAGCCCTGCCACGGCCTGTGGGCTCCTAGAACCCCCAATGTTCCCTCGACCTTTTTCCAGCTCAAAATGAACTAATTAATTCATTGAAATAGACCTGTCTTCCCCAGTCAGCTTGCAGCCTTTCACTGCCGCGTCCCTGGGACACTCCTCCCTAAAGCACCCTGCAGAGGGAATCATCGTACACCAGACAAGCACTGGGACACCATTCCCTGTCTTTCCTATAAAGCGCAGCTCTTTGGGGGTTGCCGGGCAAGTGTCTCATATGTGTGCTTGCCCAGTAGCTGGACAGGTACCTATACTTACCCATCGGTTTCCACCATTTCCCTCGTCCCCCACGGAACCCTAATCCCTACATCAATAACACCTGCCTCAGTAAGAGCAAAGCAGGCCGTCCAACTTGGCCCTCTTCTCGCCACTCTGGGCATTCTCCCAGGACAATAAAGGAGAAGAGCAGGAACAGGGGTTTCTTTACATCAGTCAGCCTCCCTGTCTCAGACAGCCTACAATTCCAGATCAGCTCCACACACACCAGGCCCTCCTCCGGGAACAATGCTCCTTCTACGCCAACAGATCAAAACTGGTTCCAGACCCAGCACAGAAAACTCAGCAACAAGCCTCCTCTGGATGGACTCCTGGTTCCTGCCCATCCTGGCTCCTCCCCTCTCACTCCCTTCCTCCTTAACAGCCTCACACTTACAGTTTACCATCTTTTCAACACTTTCTCCAGTTTCTCCTAGACTGTATCACTGCCTTCCCCTGGTCCCCCACACGAGATGAGGACAACACCCCCTCTAGAGTCACTCTAGACGTGAGAACCCCGAGGTGATGCTCCCCCCATCAGAAAGTAGACAGACAGAAAACAGCACCCCCATCCCTTATATGTATAGGATCTGGGATTAAAGGAAATTTCACCCCTTGCCCCTCACGCAAAACCGACACCCTAAAACAAGCCCAAGTTCCCAGGAAATCTGCCACCATGGGATTCTCAGAAAGCAGCTAATCCCCTGGAGGGTCAGAGGAAAGCAACTGACCGATCTTCCATCCTGCCCTTCCAAGAAACAGTTCGTGTAGAAGAGCAGCTCACTTCCTCATTCTGGCCCCGGCAAGACCCTTCCCTCTTCCTTCTGTACCCTTAGAATATCACCCCCCCCCACACACACACACCATGTAATCTGCATTCCTCTGCAGGTTCAGATGTCGTCTTGGGCTACCACCTCTCAGACCAATAAATGTTAACTTTCACCATCACGGTTGACCTGAGTTTTTATTCTTTCATTTCCCTCTCATTATTTAATTCTTTCATTTACCAAAAAAAATTGCCACCTCCACCAGGCACTGTGGAATCATTCTCTTCAACTCTGTTCTGGGCTGGGCCCTGTTTGCTCCCATAGAATGAGACGCTCAGAGAGGCTATGTAAAAAGGGACAACCCTGGGAGGCTGGGTAGACCATGCCAATGCATTGGGTGTCTCAGAAGCTAGAGGAATGTGTGCATGGCTCAGCAGCTGGCCACTTGACTAGCACCAGGAGGATCAGGGTCTAGTGCCAGCACTGCACAGTATCAAGGGAAAACTTAGACAGATTTGGAATAATTTCGCTACAAAGATTTGGTTTCATGTTTGAAGCATCAGATTTGAGCAGTATACACCATGCATGTGTATTAAAGTGACCCATAGACTTCTGAAATTTTTGTCTCAATAATTTTTCTACCCTGGAGTAACCTCCCGGGCTTCTGGCTATTTGCCTAGAGTCTGGGCCTCTTGAATCAAAGACACTTGTTATTTCAGCCAGCTTCCTGGTCTCCTACCCATCCTGATCCTCAGATACCATAGGCATTGACCTCTAGTCACTTACCTGGGACTGCCTGCAAGCCTCCCAGCTCAGATCCCTGGTGCCTTCCTGAGTTGCCTGGCCTGGCTTCCACCTCCCTGGCCTGTGGTCTCCTGAGCTCGGACTGGAAGTTCACCTGGCTTCTGGCCTTTTTCTCACAGAATTGTGCACATTGCTGGGGGTGCTGTGTGCAGGTGGAGTCACAGCTGACACAGACCCCCAAGAGGTGGTCATAGTACTTGCCTTGCTCTCTGCGGCAACCGAGGAACTCTGTGAGACAGAAAGAAAAATGCTACTGGGTGTTTGTTACAGGCTGTTAGGCGCTTGGGGTCTGACAATAAACTCTGTCGAAGTAAAGAAACAAAAACAAACCAACCCTACATAGTTCAATGTGAAAACAGCAAGTCCAGGACAGTTGTGCCCTCTGGGTGCTCTCTAGCTGTAAGATTCACATTCTGATATTTGTATCTATATTTATACGTGTCTTCCTGTTTCCAGATGTTTCTTGTAACAAGAGCCCCAAACTTGCGGCTACAGCTTCTGTTTGTTGTTGTTATTGTTGTTTCTTCTTTGACCCATAAATTCTTCATACTTCTTAGTTTCCAAACATGGTGGGTTTCTACATATATTTAAATTTTTTAGATTTCTTTTAAGTGCATGAGTGCTTTGCCTGCATGTATGTATGTGCAGCGAATGTGTGCCTGGTGCCTGTGGAGTTCAGAAGAGAGTATGAGACTCCTCGGAATGGTTGTGAGCCATGGTGTGGGTGCCAGGATCAGACTGAGTCCTCTGCAAATTAGCAAGTGCTCTTAACTGCTGAGCCATCTCTCCAGCCCCCTCTACATATCTTAAAATTAATATCTAGGTGATTATATTGTCATATAAATTGTTTATTTGAATTTTCAAATCTCCTGAAGGAGAAATGCACTTCAAGTTAGTGGAAGGAATAGAAGAGAAAATGCCAGAACCCTCCTTGGAGAGTTGGGGAGGGAGCTGGGAAAGTCCGTGGTGATATATTTGGTAACACGTGGGAACCACAGCAACCTACACAGGTAGCGATGACCCCAGGGGCCCCTCTGGTGAAGAGATCATGGGAAGCTAATCTCCCAGGAGAGTGAATCCATCCACAGCTTCACAGCCGGAAAGGCAGGACATATGCCTACTTGGAGGAAGTGCATCTGGGAAGGGGGGCACTACCCACTTATTTCCCACTAAGCTACCTCCAGCACATGCCCAGAAATAGAGAGCCAAGTGACATGGATTGAGACCCCCTGAAGCCATGAGCTTTCCCGCTTTAAGACTAAAGGAGTCTTAAATGTCTTTAAACTATACAAGGGTAGACCAGATGGCTCAACGGGATAGGTGTTTGCCACCAAGACTGACTACCTAGTTTACCTAGTTTGATCCCTAGGACCCACACGGTGAAAGGAGAGAACTGACTACCAAAAGTATCTTCACACACACACACACACACACACACACACACACACACACACACACACACACAAACTAAGTTTTAAAACTGAGAGATAATCAGTAAATGTTTGAAAAACACATGAGTGAAAAAAACGGGATTATAAATGAAAAGGCCAAGTTTTAACAATTTCTGAAGATGTGCATGTGGGTGTGCTGTGCTCTCCTATCCCATGTTTATGTGTTTGATGATTTCCATAGTAAAATATTTCAAAGCAAAGCAATAGTAGAAATGGGGAGGTGGTACATGCCTGTAATCCCAACACAAAGGAAGCTGAGGCAGGAGGATCTCAAGTTCAAGACTAGCCTGAGTCACATAGTAAGACCAGTCAAAAAGGGGGAGAGAGAGAGAGAGAGAGAGAGAGAGAGAGAGAGAGAGAGAGGATGTATTTATGTCTTAAATTACCAAAGAATAAACTTAAAAACATTTTTTAAGGAAGAGATAGAGATGAAGGACTAATTCCTTCCTCATGTAGTCAGAGAAATCCTCCAGGATATCGATAAGAGGCACTGAAGGCTGAGTGAAATGAAGCAAAGATTAGAGAAATACATTCCAGGCAGGGGAGTAGGCAATTTCCAAGGGCACGAGGCAGAAAAGAATGGCCATGTACAAATAGCTGAAAGGCTGAGGAGAAAGAGAACATGTGACATATCATTCCTCCATCCCTGCGCCTCCACCTGGCTGCAAATGGACCAGAGAGGTTCTGGGGCAGGCAAAGGAATGGCTCGGTTGGCCCCCGTGCTCAGACTCCAGAACTCACTGCAAAAGTCTGTACAGGTGCGCTGGCTCCTCTGGCTGCAGGAGACACAGGAGACACAGGTTTTGGTCAAGGCGTCCCAGTGCTGCTCTTTGGGGCAGGATGCCATAGTCACCCCTAGCCACCAGTCCTGTGGAAGGAGAGATGGAGCATTAGGAGAGCAGATGGCCAAACAGAACCAGGCGGCCTCTCCTGCCACATTCTGAGACAGTCTCTGTCTCAGCAGGCAGAGAACAGCCAGACAAAATCGGCTTCCAACCTCAGCTGCGATCCGGGGTGGGTTCCTCACTTTTTTATCCTGTTTCCCGTTTGTAAACTGGTTTCTCTGAGGGTCCCTCCCTGATACAATTGCACCCTGTCTGTCCCCACATTGCCCTCCATGTGTACCAGGCCTCCTCCCCAGGGTCTCTGCTTATTTCCCCATCATCCTTGACATCTCTCGAAACCTCGTCACCCCCAGGGGACTGTGGGAAACAGAGGGCTGTAAGGACCAATTTATGTTTAGACAACCCGGCACTACCATTGTCTGCCTAGTGGTCTATGTGGAGGCCTTCATGCACAGTGAATAAAGTATCTTTATTATTAAAAAATAAAGATTGCTTTATTTTAATTTTATGCATATATGTATATATGTATGTATATACACCATATATACTCCTGGTGTCTGTAGAGGTGAGGAGAGAGCATTGGATCCCCTAGAACTGGAGTCATAGGTAGTTGTATGCTACTTTATGTGTGCGCTTGAAACCAAACCTGGGTCCTCTGCAAAAGCAGCAAGTGCTCCGGACCACTGAGCCATCCCTCCAGCCCCAGGACAGTATGCTCATCCAGCCAAGGCTTCTTCATCTCTTCAATCTGCTTGCCTCCCGTGATCCTCCTCCTTTCTGAGCATCAGAGCATGGACCTCAGGGGACCCTACTGCCTCCCACTACCACACACCCCTTCTTGCTCCTCACTGTGGCCTTGGCATTCATGAGTGTGTGGCTGCTTCCCACCATTGTTTGGATTCACCATGGGCATCATTTGGCAAGGCCTGGTCCTACCCTTCTGTCCAGTGGAGGGTCCTCAGGATTTAGAAGGTGTCCACTAAATGAGCAAAGCTTTTAAAAGCAGGCCTGGCCAGTGCCACGCCTACAGAAGGCACTCAGTGTAGAGTTCTTCCCCTTTTCTTTCTTTTTTGTTTGTTTGTTTTGTTGTTGTTGTTTTGTTTTGTTTTTTTCAAGAGCCCGTCCTGGAACTCACTCTGTAGACCAGGCTGGCCTCGAACCCACAGAGATCCGCCTGCCTCTGCCTCCCAAGCGCTGGGATTAAAGGCGTGCGCCACCACCGCCCAGCTTCCCCTTTCCTTTTTTTACTGATATATGAAACATCGCAATGACACTTTGTATAAAGCCCACGTCTTTCACAGGTGTAAAAGACATCATTACAGCCCACACCAAGACTGAACGCACTTCCTGTACCTAGTGACAGCCCACACCAAGACTGAACGCACTTCCTGTACCTAGTGACTTCTGCGGCTACCTCCCAGGAGAAGAGTAACTACTTTGACTTGTCATTGTGGGTGGAAGACCCTGTCTGGCAAGTTACCCACATGACACTTTTCAAGGTGTCTGTTTATTCTTCAATGAAAGAGAGCTGAGCAGAGGCCTGGGCCTCCTGTGCCACCATCAGGCAGCATGTAGCTCCATCAGAAGTCCTCAGAGACAGAGGGTAGTGAGCAGCAGCAGGTGGGAGCGACTCCGGAAGTCGGCAGGCCCAGGGGCAGCACTGGGTGTTCCTGGCATTGGGAGTGAGGAGACTCTGCCTCCTGATATGGGCCTTCCTCCCTCCCCTCCTCCAGCCTGCACCTAAGCAGCACGCGTCAGGCATGTAAAATTCTTCCCTCCACCCTGGGGCTGGTAGAGGTTAGCAAACGTGGATTGGGAAATGGACTGTGGGGAGACGCCGAAAGGTACCCTCTGTGGGAAAGTCTCTCCAACAGTGGCCAGGATCATGACCAATCACACAGGACCAAAGGAGCACTGGGCCACAGTGGGGCAGAGCAACGCCAGGTCACAGTGGGCAGAGTGACACCCAGTCACACTGGAGCAAGATGACCTTAGTCCCAGAGCTGGTGTCACTAAGGCAGGCAAACACAGGGATAGTTTGGTGGCCTAGGGTACTTGGTTTTGGTTATGCGAGCCTGTCTCCTGGTTGCCCAGCCCCCTCGCCTGTACATACTACATACCCAGCCCTCTTCAAACAATGTACTGCCAACCTCAGAGCCCCACCTGCCTGGAACTACACCTCTCTCTGAACAACTTAAGTTGTTCTGCCCCTAACAGCCATCAAATGTAGTTTCTATTCAAACATATTCCTAATGTAGCAGTAGGAAGACTAGCAAGGCCAATCCAACTTGAACTGGTTTTGGGAGCATATCTGGTAAGACAAAACTGCTTCCTCAGGCCAGGAACTTTTCGGGAGCATCCCCTGTTTACCAGCCTATGCATATGCGTAATTGGTTACACATATGACTACAATCAGATGCATGGGAAGAGACATGTGCAACAGAAAAAAAAAGGTTATATGACCTAATCTAGCAATCACAACAGAGAAGTGCCCATATTACACCCTTAGACACCAGACTCCTCCTTCTCTTGAACCCTGTGAAAGAAAGCCCCAAATAGTGCTGGGGCTCTCGAGTACCTTCTTCACTCTTGTGGCCCCTGCTCTTTTGCAGCGTATTCTGGTCACGCCTACTGCTTTTGCAGTTTTCTCGCTACTTGGCCATCTGTGTGAGCTTTCCTTTCTATTGCTTTTGTAGAGTTTTCTTGCTGCTTTGCACTCTGTGTGAGCTTTTGCTTCATTCTTGAATAAAATGCCAAGACTCTGCACACAGTCGGTGCAGAGAGCCACCCCGACACTGGCTGCAAAACTGGAGCAGAGGACGCTGGCTCACATGGAGCCCGGAAGGACCGACAAGAGGCAGCATCCAGACGGCAGTGACCTGAAGTGTCTCGCTATTAAACAAACAAAAACCCTCAGTCTTATTAAGAGCATGTAAAAGATTCGAGCAGACACTTCCCAAAAGAAGACCCAGAATCTCCCACAGGCACCGGCAAAGACACTCAGCATCAGAGCTCATCGGTCTTACCGCAGGCCTATGACTCCAGCCATCGGGGAGGCTGGGGCAGGCTCCCCAACTTAGCAAGACTGTCTCCAAACTAAAAGTAGTAAATAAAATAAATACAAATTTAAAAGGCTGGAATCCAGCTCAGTGCTAGAGCACTTGCCTAATATATGTGAGACCCAAGGTTCAGTCCCTAGGACCATAGAGAGAAAGCCAGGAAAGGAGGAAAGAGGAGGGGGAGATGATGAGAGGAGGAGAGAGGAAGAGGAGAGGAAAGGAGTGAAGGAGGGAGGGAGGGAGGGAGGGAGGGAGGGAGGGAGGGGGAAAGAAAAACCTCAAACCGGTGCCATGAAACCTTATGATGAAATTACAGAACCCTGGGGATAAAGAGAACTCTGAAAGTTCAAGACAAAAGCAACCCGTTGCCAGGGAGATGGACCAGCAGGTAAATGCCTTTGCTGCACAAGCCCTGAGGAGCTCAGTTTGACCCCTGGGGCCCCCATAGGGTTAAAGAAGACGACTGACTCTGGCAAAGTTTCCTCTGACCTCCACACGTGCGCTAGGACACACGGGCCTCCATACATTTGTACATCCCCCCCCCTCTCCCCTCTCTCCCCGATCCTAGTATACACTCAACATGACAACTCATTATGTACAAGGGACCCTCTGGAAAACTAATGGAGATGAGAAAGAATGGGATGAGAGATCTAAAGGCCCGGAAGAAAAGAGCTGCCAGCCACGAGTTGTCTTGAGCAAAACTGCCTATCAGTAAGGAAGGAGGCCGGCGGTGGTGGCGCACGCCTTTAATCCCAGCACTCGGGAGGCAGAGCCAGGCGGATCTCTGTGAGTTCGAGGCCAGCCTGGACTACCAAGTGAGTTCCAGGACAGGTGCAAAGCTACACAGAGAAACACTGTCTCGAAAAACCAATAATAATAATAATAATAATAATAATAATAATAATAAAGGAGAAATTAAGACATTTCTGGGAAAACAAAATTTGAGAGATCACATTTCTGGCACCAAAGACTACCAAGAGTCCTTCATGCTATAATGAAAGTGGCTGGACTGTGCCTTGGAGCCCAAGAAAGGATGAGAAACACTACTAAAGGTCCCGGCACAAGAAAACATTAGTTTTTGTTTTGTTTTCTTTTTATGTATATGGGCGTTTTGCCTGTGTGTACGTCTATGTACTGCGTGCATGCCTGGTGCCTGCAGAGACCCTGGAACTGAAGGTACCAAAAACTGTGAGTTGCCAAGTGAGAACTGAACCCAGGTCTTCTGGAAGAGCAGCTAGTGCTCTTAACTGCTGAACCGTGTCTCCAATCTCTGTTTTACTTTATTTTTTGAAACAAGGTCTCCTTATGTAGCCCTAGCTGGCCTGGAACTCTCTATGTAGGCCAGGCTGACCTCAAACTCACTGTCTCTGCCTCCTGAGTGCTAGGATTAAAGGAATGCACCAGCCACCATGTCTGGGTAGTCAATTAAGGTGTGTGTGTGTGTGTGTGTGTGTGTGTGTGTGTGTGTGTGTGTGTGTGTGTATGTGTGTGTGTGCACTCAATTGTGTGTGGTACTGAGGACTGAACCTAGGGCTTCACAAATCCTGGATAAGCACCCTTCCAGTGAGTGACATCTCCAGCTCTTTTCTTTGTTTTATTTTGAGACAAGGCCTTGTTAAATTGGTCCAGGGTGGCTTTGAACCCCCTCTCTAGCCAAGAGAGAGCCTTGTACTTGTGAGCTTGTTGCCTCAGTTTCTCGAGGACCTGAGATCATGGGCCTGCACCACCAGGCCCGCCAAGATAAGCTTTCATAAAGGCAAGAATTACTGCATACTTCTTATGAGTTGAAACTCCTATTTCTCTACATAATTTAATAGACACTACATAAAACAATTATTAAAACCCTATATTAATAGTCATTTGGTGTTCAAAGAGAAAATATGTAACATAACAACATCAAAGGAAAGGGGCAGAGATTTTTAGGAACAGAGTTTTGCATATTAATGAAACTAAGTAGATATTCA